GCAGTTCCTTTCAACGCCGCCTTTACTTCCCCAACTCGAAGTCAGGTTCTAATTACTGCTGGGTGGGCAAGAGGGGCGAAAAAACTCGTGACCGAACCGAGGCTCGACGAACCGGGACTTTCCGCTTTGGAGACGAGGGCACTAACCACTCCGCCACTGCACCTTAACAAGTAAGATAACCTCACAGGTCACCAAACTACGGCCCTACCGGTGGTTGACGGATGCTCTGGTGCAGTTTGCTTCTTTTTTGCTATCAGACATCTATAGCCCTTATCTCTCAGCATCCCTTTTGACTTTGTTACTCTCTTGTAACACTTCTAATCTTCTACTCTTTTATTATGATCGAATTGAGTTGCAAGCGCAGTGAAACGCTTACTAAAACCAAACTGCAGCCATCGAGGTCAGTTTGTCTGGCCCGCTGCTATTTCACAATGCAAGAAAAATAAACTAAAAGATGTGTTTGTAGCGTGTTGAGGACTTGGCCACCAAACTATCATTATTATTTTTCTAAAATTTACTCAAACTATACAGTCAAAATTAAACGTGCTTTATAATATGCACTTAATAACTTCAGGCTCGCCTTTACATGTGAGGTGACAAATTCTTTATTCTGCACATCCGTATGTTGTTGTTTTTTAAACGGAATAATTTTCTGTCTCCTTTTTATCATTCTGCCAGCCGTCCGACGACCTTTGAAAAAGTTTTGTGACTTGTGAAGCCAGTTAATGAACATTTGAGAAAGCAATTGATTGAATAGGAAAATCGATCAGTCGATCAAATACCCAAACAGCAACAATTTTATTTGAAAGCTCCCTTGTCGTCCTTTCCGGTGTTCCGCCCCCCCCAACCCCACCCCATTCTCTCCCATCACCTCACCCCACCGCCCACAACCCTCAACCAACCATTTCAACCCCCACCCCGGTGCCCACATTGCTTCTCTGCTTCCCTCCCCCCTTTTCTGTAACGATGTTCTTATTCCCTGTGTTTAGTTGGGTGGCCAGAGCTAGATTTAGCTAACATCTCTCAACACATAAAATGTGACGAGCGCAGACAAAACGAGACAGTCCTCGCAATCCATAAATGTAGATGTCAACCGAAAATAGACACATTAAAATAATTTGTAGCTTTTTCAACAGGTGCCATTTTCTTCACGTTAAACGCGTCTTTTATTATTTCATATAATAAATTTTACAAACCAGATCTATAAATGTGTCGTATCTATCTGTGTCCATAGGGTTAAAATTCGAGAATCAACTCATTTTGTCAGCACTCCTCACGTATTATACGTAACCTGCCGCCC